TTGTTAAACACATGACTCCAGCACACAAATGTGTCATCAAGCCAGTTTTTAACTGATTGCCCTCTGTGCGTGTTTGGTTTAGGAGGAGCAAGCCAACGCTAATCTGGGCAAATTCCGGAAGCTTCAGCACGAGCTGGATGAGGCCGAGGAGAGAGCCGACATTGCGGAGTCTCAGGTCAACAAGATGCGAGCCAAAAGCCGGGATACTGGCTCCAAGGTGAGAGAACATCTTCCTGTTTTATACATTTGCTCATATTTTTGAATTTTCATGAAGTGATGGAATCCTTAAATTTATGTTATTTTCACTTTATTATCACCATATAACCCTCGGGACCCAGGGAAATAAGTTAAAAGAAATACATGCTAACACTGAATGTTGTCTTCTTGTTACAGAAAGGACATGATGAAGAGTGAAGCGCTCCAATGAACTTCTCTGCCGAAGCTCTCACAGCGTCTGGCTACTCTGTTTCATCATCACTCCTTATTTATTAATAATCAGTAGAATAAATGCAATTAAGACATTCCTTTTCTTGTGTTGTTTCTTTGGAAAGGGCTTACAGTATATGCCATTTAGCATTTTACACAACAGGTGGTTGTGGCTCATCATATAAATGCACACAAATGAAAACATTTGAACCAATTACGTACTGGTAGGCATTACACATTATGGCTCAAATATAATCATTCATAAAATCATTTACTCTTGTGACTTCATTCTGGCTAGTCTGGTGACTCAATGCATAGCATTGCACTCTTTTGCTTCTGCTGTTGTGGGTTTGATTCCTGTCCTGGGCTTTGCGTTTCAGGAGTTTGCATGTTCTCCCTGGGGTGTGTTTGAATTTCTACCTTTAGTCCAAAGAGCTGCAGCTAGGGGAATTGGGGTCTCAAATTTCCCTTAGTGTGTGTGTCCTGCAAATGATTGGCGTCTTGTCCAGGTTATCACACGTTTTACAAGATGAACTGCTGAGTAACTTTGACCTTGACCTGGCTAAGTGGTACAGATGGATTTCTTTTGTTTTTATAACTACATACTGTACGGTCACAGGCAGCCTATGAAAAAAAATATTTTGATAATGTTGGTAAACATTCATGTCAGCAGTATTGAATCTTTAAATATGTTTTTGTGGGTCTTTGTCAGAGTTGAAGTCCACTGCTAAGGCATAGCAAAGAATCGCTAGTGTTCCGAGAAGCTGTTATAAAAATAACGGGCATTTTGTTATCTGGAACAAACGTAGCTGGACGCCTTTAAATCATTTAAACTCAACAAATGCTCAGTAATACACAGGAATTCAGCTACAACAAAGAGCACTGCCAGGCTCTGCATGTCTCGTATGCTATGCTTCTATCGGGATGCCAGTCAATTACACTCAAAGCGTCTTTCCTCGTGAGGAATTATTTGGGATGGATATTTTTCAAAGCAGGATAATAAAAAAACACAAGCAATGACAGCAGGATCACACTGATCTGCCGGGGACAGCTGTGTCCCTCTGATGAATGGAATTCAGGCTGACTGTCACCTGTGACCCTCCTTCCACTTTTGTACTGGTGGTTTATTTGCACGTTTCACCACATGACACCAGCCTTGTGCTTTTACCAAGGGCAGAAATCTATACATAGCATTCTCCTTGCAGTGTGCTATACCAATTATCTGAAAGACAAATGGATATTTTAAAAAATGTAAAATATGCCTCCATGGCTAAGTTTCAGATTGGCTCACATACCAATTAATAATTTACTTGCTTCATTATTATAACACATTCTCATGGACATTTTATTTAGTGGTAATCTAGGTTTGGTCAGCATTAAATTTCATTAGCTAGAATATTCAGGATCACGAATATAACATTTAATTGTGCATTTTAATTATTTTATTACATTTAGTTTTATGGTAATTCAGGTTTGTTCAGCACTAATATTCATTACCTATAATACTCTGGATCACTAATGTAATGTTATAACATTCAATAGTTCATTATGATTATTTTATTGTATTTTATTCAGTGGTATTTCAGGTTTGGTCAGCATTAATATTCATTACCTAGAGTATTCAAAATATTTATTGTAATGTTATAATTCAAAATATGTTAACCAATTAGCCATATGCTGCAGTCTGCTTTGTAAATGAAGGAAGGAATCTAAACCATCTATTCCCACCAACTTCAGTCCTGATGCTGTGTTTGAATTTGTTGAAAATGTTCGCATGAAGCTTGACTAGGTGGAGGAGCATAGAGGAAATATGTCATATGAAAAGACAGCAACAGCAAAGTCAAATTCAACCAGCCGACTGTCCGTCATTTTTCAAATATTTTGTATCAACAAACTATGCCTGTGCACCTGCTCTCTGCCTTTCAAAGACAGAACCCACACCCAGGAACAATTAGGACAACCAGCATGTACACGCCCCCTAAATACAGTAACCCAATGATACAGCCTTCCTGAATTTCCAAATTAGGACATTTTGCTTCTCTATAAACTGCAAGCAGACAGTAGACTTACAGTTTCTCGCCCAGATACAGGTAAGCAGAATGTGTCAAGGGTTTCTTATTCTTTAAAGAAAGGTTTAATCTTTTTTCATTATTTTTAATTATATTTATAGATCCCATAATCATAGTCATAAATTGACAAATTGCAATTAAGATATTTTGTATGATGGGATTGTCTACTGCTCATTTAATTAACAATGTGAATAACGTTTAAGCTCTCAAAACTTTTTGAGGCCAAATATGTTTCGCGGCTAATTGATTGTATGGGCTTGATAACAGTAATGGTGCCAAGTCCACGGAGTATGTAAGGAGTAAGAAACAGCTTTGCGCTGCACAACCAGGAACCTCAGCTTTGGCTCTATGTGTAGTTTCTGTGTTGCCTTCACAGGGGAAACACATCATCGCTTGACGACGTCTCACAGGTAAGGGAAAATACCAATCCAAATACCTGCATCATACTCCACTGAGCAATATTTAAGATAAACCTAAGGAAAAATTTTGTTTGAATTACAGTTAATTAAATGTGTTGCTCTTTCATGATATGTGGATAAATAAATTATAACTGAAACTGCACATTTCAACATGGTTATAGTTGCCCTAAAAGAGAAAATGCTAAACATTTGTACATAGTATTTCTGAAAAGATCAAATGAATAACAGAATGGCTGAAATACTAACTTAACATGTAATAAAACACAGGGTGAAAAGAAAAATAAAAAACAATGGGAGATGCACAAATGGAAGAGTTTGGGGCCGCCGCCCCATACCTGCGGAAATCAGACAGGGAACGCCTGGAGGCACAGACTCGCATATTTGACATAAAGAAGGAGTGTTTCGTAGTGGACCCTGAAGTGGAGTATGTCAAGGGGTCCGTCATCAGTCGAGATGGTGACAAAGTCACAGTCGAAACTGAGTTTGGGAAGGTAAAACATGAACTTGCACACTATACTGGGTAGTTAAGAGATAAAATACTTATGACTGATCTAAAGCTATTTTAATTATTGACAGGGACAATAAAATATATATATGTAATATATGTATATGTACACTGATCCGTGGTGTTTGTTTGCAGACCGTTACGGCGAAAGAAGCAGACGTCCACCCCCAGAACCCGCCAAAGTTCGATAAAATCGAAGACATGGCGATGTTTACCTTCCTTCATGAACCCGCTGTGCTGTTTAACCTCAAAGAGCGTTACGCAGCCTGGATGATCTATGTGAGTATAGAGATGTATAATTTATTATAGACTAAAAAGTACTGTCAACAAACACAACGACAGCCATGAGACTAACTGGTTTTTCGTCCATCTCGCAGACCTACTCTGGGCTGTTCTGTGTCACTGTCAACCCCTACAAGTGGCTGCCAGTGTATGATCAGTCAGTGGTCAAAGCCTACAGAGGCAAGAAGAGAACTGAAGCTCCTCCACACATCTTCTCCATCTCTGATAATGCCTACCAGTACATGCTATCAGGTAAAACTCAGTCTTTAGGATCTCCTAAGAATAATGATACAATATACAGATGTTAGGTTTTAATTATATTTTCTCATCCTGCAGACAGAGAAAACCAGTCTATCCTGATCACGTAAGTCTCACAAAACTTTACTTTTTAGTTGAAATGAGTTTGATCCTAAGGTCTGAACGACATTTTTGTCTTCAGTGGAGAATCTGGTGCTGGGAAGACTGTGAACACAAAGAGAGTCATTCAGTACTTTGCCAGCATTGCAGCTGTGGCAGGAAAGAAGGACGCAGCTCAGGAGAAGAAGGTGACCTGTCCTACAGAGCAGACAACTGACCTGCACGATGGCATGTTTTGTATATATGATGTTTGTACATGAGTGAAAAGCTTTGGTTGTGTAACATGTGACTCTCAGGGGACCCTGGAAGATCAAATCATCCAGTGCAATCCTGCCCTGGAGGCCTTTGGTAATGCCAAGACCATCAGGAATGACAACTCCTCCAGATTTGTGAGTGTTGAGATTTGTGAAAGTCTTCATTTAGTTGGATTTTTTTCAATATGAAGTTCATCAGCGTCTTCATTTAATATGGTCTTTATCTTTCAGGGTAAATTCATTAGAATTCACTTTGGTGTCAGTGGAAAGTTGGCCTCTGCTGACATTGAGACATGTAAGTTAAGAAACATTTAAGAGGAAACAATTGAACACAAACTGATTAATGTCATGTCTGTAGGCATTATCCAACGTATTGTGTGTCTGTGTGTGCCAGATCTTCTTGAGAAGTCTCGTGTAACTTACCAGCTAAAGGCTGAGAGAGACTATCACATCTTCTACCAGATCCTTTCCCAGAGAAAACCAGAGCTGCTCGGTGAGCCCTGCAAACTAGTTATTTCAAAACTGTTGCATTACCTGGTCAGTATCTAACTACAGTTTGCTCCTCATCAGAAATGCTGCTTATTACCAACAATCCCTACGACTACGCCTACATCTCCCAAGGAGAGACCACTGTAGCCTCCATTAATGATGGTGATGAACTTTGTGCCACTGATGTGAGTGAATATTTTAGCTTTTCTTTAAGCATTAATCATGGATTAATGAAATAATGTTTCCTAATTCCCAGGCTGAATAACTCCCTGAGTTGACATGAAAGTTCCATCCTATCCTCTGTGCTTCTTTCCTGCAGGAAGCTTTTGATGTGCTGGGCTTCACTCAGGAGGAGAAGAATGGCATTTACAAGCTAATCGGTGCCATCATGCACTTTGGCAACATGAAGTTCAAGCAGAAGCAGCGTGAGGAACAGGCAGAAGCTGATGGCACTGAAGGTGGGTACTTAGGAGGGAAAAGGACCAAAAATGAACAAGTGTATGCTTTAATAACCACAATGTTCGCCTCAACTGAGATTCACCTCAGACTTTGTAGAACCAGCTACACAGTTTATAAAGCAAACAATAATTATGATACGTTAGTCTCTCACGTCTTATAATTCATTCTACTGGGCAGCATATATTTTTATATTTTAGTAGTCAGCATATCTCATTTCCCTTTAAAATCATATTTACTAATACCAATTGTACAGCTTTCCGCTGTTTGCCCTACTTTATTATATCATCTTATATTGCTTATACTATTTTTCTTTTGCTCTATGCTGTTTCTGAATCATTACTGCCAAAACAGAATCCTAGTCCAGGCAGTTGTACCTGGCCAATAAAGTGGATTGTAATTCTGATGATCTTTTCATCCTAGAATGGTCTATTAGTTCTAATAGTTGTTTTTTTCAGGCTTGTAAATCTGTGATAATACTTCCAGATGCTGACAAAGTTGCCTATCTGATGGGGCTCAATTCTGCTGACCTTATCAAGGGTCTGTGTCATCCAAGGGTCAAAGTAGGCAATGAGTGGGTCACCAAGGGGCAGAATGTCCAGCAGGTGAAATAAATGTTTTTTTTTTTAATGACCTTTTGCAGTGGTTGCAAATTAAAGATGTTATCAGCATATAATGATATTCCCGTGTTCTTTTATTTAATTCTTCTATTTGTTTAGTTTTTTAAATTTTAGGTCACTTTCTCTTTTACTTTACTAGGTTTACTACTCTATTGGTGCTCTGGGTAAGTCAGTATACGAGAAGATGTTCCTTTGGATGGTGGTACGAATCAACCAATCCCTGGACACCAAGCAGCCTCGCCAATATTTCATTGGTGTGCTGGACATCGCCGGCTTTGAGATCTTTGATGTGAGTCAAATTGTAATATTTTGTAATATTTTGTAATATATTGATGTCTGTCACATTGTAATATTTTTAGAGGTACTTCATATTCTCTTATCACCTTTTCCTTACTTGGGAACATTAAAGAACCATCTCCTCTTTTTTTCTCAGTACAACACCTTTGAGCAGATGTGTATCAACTTCACTAATGAGAAGTTGCAGCAGTTCTTCAACCACCACATGTTTGTGCTGGAGCAGGAAGAATACAAGAAAGAGGGGATTGAGTGGGAGTTCATTGACTTTGGTATGGACCTGCAGGCCTGCATTGACCTCATTGAGAAGGTGGGTTGACCTGGTTTTTACATTTAATGTTAACACAGGGTGAAATGTATACAGAAATAGGTAAGACTATATCTTAAAAATTAAAATCTAATTTTGGAACAGCCAAAACTTGTAAGTGAAAAGCAATTTGACAAGAACATCATTATATGTGAATAT